GCTGGTCAGAGCAGCCCGTCTTTTTTTTGTTTTTTTTTTTTAAGATACATGTCCCTGTGCTCCAGGAGGGCAAAGGGAATAGCAGTCATTTAATAATATTAATAACAATAATTACAATCATTATTGACATTCACTCAGCACTCACTACACGAAGGGCTGCTAAGGAGATCAGGGCTACAGGACATCAGAGAGGGGAGAAATCCCACGGGACCCACTGGTTGGGAAGGCTTCTGGAAGGCGGCGGACTTGACTGGTGCAGAGAGGAGGCCCGGCAAGTCCTTCCGGGGGCAAATCATTGTGTGCTCGCTGCTGCCGCGTTAGCTGCACTCACGTGCCGCCTGTCTTTCTAAAAATTTTATTTTATTGAAGTACAGTTGATTTATATTGTTGTGTTAATTTCTGCTGTACAGCAAAGAGACTCAGTTATACATATATATATTCTTTTTCGCATTCTTTTCATTATGGTTTATCACAGGATATTGAATATAGTTCCCTGTGCTATACAGTAGGACCTTGTTGTTTATCCATCCTGTATATAATAGTTTGCACCTGCTAATCCCAAACCCAATCCACCCCTCCCTTACCCGCCTCCCCCTTGGCAACCACAAGTCTGTTTTCTATGTCTGTGAGTCTGTTTCTGTTTTGTAAAGTTCTTTTGTGTCATATTTTAGATTCCACATATAAGTGATATCATATAGTATTTGCTTTCTCTTTCTGACTTACTTCATTTAGCATGATAATCTCCAGGTCCATCCATGTTGCTGCAAAGGACATTATTTTATTCTTTTTTATGGCTGAGTAGTATTCCATTGTGTGTGTGTGTGTGTGTGTATCACATATATACATATATCACATATGCATATATAGCACATCTTCTTTATCCATTCATCTAGAGAGCCTGTCTGAAGGCCTGCTGAACACACATTGTACCACTGCTTTAACGTTAAAGAAAAGGATATACTTAAAAATCAAAGTGGAGTGACTGTGGTTCAGGCATCCAGGGTGGAGCCGCGTGGCCGCTGTGGATGTGGTTTCAGACACATTCCTGCGTCCCTGAGAACCTGAATTCGGGACCCTATCAGACTCAATGACACCACCGGCCGCTCTCAAAACAGCCTCTGCCGGCAGCTGCCCCCCACAGCCTTAGGTCTCGAGTCTCTCCTTGTAACTATGCCACCATTTCAGACCCCAGCCAATCGCGCGGAGCCAGCGCCCTTGCTTCTTGCAGCTCCAGTCCTCATTCCTGACAAACAACTCCGGGAATCTTGTGGATTTTGCCTTTACAAGCCTTCCCCATTTTGCAGCCTGCGGAACGTGATTCAGGTACCTCTTGAACCTGTGTCTCTCAGGCTGTAGTCCTCAGTTTGGCTCACGTAACACTCTTTCCTTTCCTATTATGAATTGTTATTGATTATTTCTGTTGACAAAACTAAGAAAATATATAACCCCACCCCCTCGGCAAGGCTGGCAAGAGAAAGCACAAATAAATTATCCAAGGAGTGGAACAGGGCACCTACGATGACGCAGTGATTCAGAAAGGACCTCACCTGCAACTTTAAAAACACAGGTAACAATGGGTAAATTTTTAGAAACATATGGTTTACCAAGAAGCTGACTCAATAAGAAATACAAAACAGATAAATCCTATAATTATTAAAAATAGAGCAGCAATTAAACATCTTTGCTCCAAGGAAACAGATGGCTTCATAAGTAAGTTTGACCAGACTCTGAAGGAACAGACCATCCCATTCTTACATAAACTATTACACGGCAAAGGAAGCGGGGGCATTTACATACAGCCAGGATAGTCCTGAGGGCTCACACGAGTCAAAAACATCAACAGAGGGCTTCCCTGGTGGCGCAGTGGTTGAGAGTCCGCCTGCTGATGCAGGGGACACGGGTTTGTGCCCCGGTCCGGGAAGATCCCACATGCCGCAGAGCGGCTGCTAAGCCTGCGTGTCCAGAGCCTGTGCTCCGCAACAGGAGAGGCCCGCGAACCGCAAAACAAACAAACAAACAAAAAACATCAACAGAATGGAAAACTACCAGTCCACTCGAGAAAAATACACAGAGACCCAAAGCAGGCATTAGTCAATCAAATGCAACGGTGTAAAGAAAAAACAGGACACAGCCAGCTTAGGTTTCTCTAAGTAGGAAAGGTTGATTTAATGCTAGAAAATAAAAAGGAGATATTAACATCTTAATGATCATTTCAAAGTATGCAGAAGCATTTCCTGATAGAACTCCATCCCTCTGGCACAGTGGGGACTTCAGGGGGCCGCTGCAAACGTCATCCAGGGTGGGGAGGTGGGAAGAGCTCTCTTAGGATTGTGGAGAAATCACTGACCCTGTCACAGCGCTGCTCCAGGCCCACTCAGGACACTTGGAAGGGGAACCTGGCAGCAAGCCCTTGGACAGTGGTATCAACACTGCCTGCCACCTTCTGCTGGTGATTTGATCAGTTAAATAGAGAAACTAAAACACTCTGTAAGTTAGCAGAAATAACAAAAGAATTTACCAAGATGGCTGATGTAAGATTAAGATGGTAAAGCGAACTGCATTTCTGTAGACTTGCCCCAAAAAGCAAAAAAATGTGATTAGAAAGATGACCACCCATTTAGAATAGAGTCAGAAAATATCTCATTCCTGAGAATAAACTAGTAAAGGATATCCAAGTAAAACTTACAATAAAGGTTTTAAAACGTTACTGAGACAGTAAATGAGAGCTAAATGAATGGAGAGATACAACGTGTGTAACACGCCACAGGCGCATGAATTCTCCCCAAACTCATCTATGCATTCAGAGCCATTCTAGTCAAAATGCCAACAGAGCTTTTCCTGGAACTTGATAATAATTCTCAAATTGATGTGGAAGAATAGAGTTAAGCATAGTCGGAACGCTTCTGAAAAGAACAGGGACCGGGCGCGTTCGCTGTGAGATGCTGGGCTCGCGGCGGAGCTACGGTCAATAAACGCAGCTTTAGTGCGGTGGTGGGCAGACCGCCATGGACTAGGGCAGAGGCCCGGGAAGCAGACCCAGCTTTGTCTGAAACTGGGGTGTATATGGCTTAGGTGACGTGTACCAGGGCCAGGCAACTAACAGCTGGGAGCACCGGTTACATCCACGTAAAAAAATGAACCTGGATCCCTGCCTCACATGCAACGGTTACATTCACGTAAAAACAATGAACCTGGATCCCTGCCTCACATGCAACGGTTACATCCACGTAAAAACAAGGAACCTGGATCCCTGCCTCACATGCACCGGTTATATCCACAAAGAACAAGGAACCTGGACCCCTGCCTCACACACATTACAAATCCACCTCGGCACTGCCTGCAGGTCCAGTGGTTAAGACTCCACGCTCCCAATGCCGGGGGCCCGGGTTTGATTCGATCCCTGCTTAGCGAACTAGATCCCACATGCTGCAACTAAAGATCCTGCAGCTAAAAGACCTGCCGCAACTAAAGACCTGCTGCAGCCAAATAAATAAATAAAAAATCAGCCTCAGGCGGATTAAATGTGAAGAACAAAACTTTAAAACTCTTGGTAGAAAATGTCAGTAAATATCTGTTGGATCTTGTGGCTGGCAAGGTTTCTTAAGGCACAAAAAACCACAGTGAAAGAAAACACCAATAATTGGACTGTATTAGAAATGAGAAACATTTTTTTCCATCAGAGGAGGCCTTCAGGCAGCTTTTCTCAAAGCGGGGTTCCAGAGGCCAAACATTTCCCAGCAACAGGCCATGGAGGCTGCCAGGGCCGCGGGCCTGTGCTGTCAGAGCAGACTGGACGCAGACGCGGCCGTGAGAACCCAGGCCTCTGCTGAGCCGGGCATCCAAGAGATTTACAAACATGTAAAGTGATGCCACTCTCCTCACTGTTTTCTTTGGAGGGGAATACTGTCATTTCTCACGAAAGTGTGTTATATGTGCTACCATGCAATGGGTTTACGGTTGTCACTGAATTAATTAATAGGTAGACTTTTTATGCATTTCTCCGTTTTAACCTGTAATACAGTGAGTACTGGCAGATATAACTCACAGAAACAAAGCTCTTTGGGCACTCAGTGATTTTTAGGAGTGTAAAGGGTTCCAAGAACCAAAAAGTTTGAGAACTGCTGCCTTCAAGGAAGTGAGACACACGGTGGACATGGCATTTGCAGTCCTGACAAAACGGACGAAAATACAGGGAGAAAAGCTGAGCAACTGGATGGAAATGGGCTCTCCCACAGAGGGGGTCCCCACCCCACCACCTGCAAGCCCACTGTCCTGACCGACAGGAACGCAACCCCTGGCAATCCCAGTGGAACCGATCCCGCAGGAGGGGGTGTGAGGGGTCTCTGGGCGGTGGTGGGAGCGCACCTCAGGCAGCCCCACAGGAAAGAGTTGCCCTGCTCTGCAAGCGACCCCGCCAGCCCGCTGGGAGCTCTCACTGGACACACGGAGGCCACAGGGAGCAGCGCTGACCCCACCAGGCCTCCCCCCACGAAGGTCATGACACCCGGTGCGGAAGAGTCTAGGGAAGTCACATAAAAGGAAGTTCCAGAAGCTAAGACGCAGCAGGAGACTCTTTTTAGAAAGTGAAGGCACGAGCGGGCCCCCTCCCTTCTCTAGGTCCCCTGCCCACCTCGCTGCACTGGGGGTGCCCAGGGGCCCCAGTGACCTTGGCCTTGTCCTAGGCGTGGCTGCCTCTCACTCTCGTGGGTGATTCTCTGGGGCCGTGAGCTGCCCCTGCCAATCCCTCAGAGGAGCTGTGACCCCCGTCAGTCACCACCGGTAATTTCAGGCGCTTTTAGCATCTTAAATATAGTAAATTCGCACTCAGACAACATGCTACGCGCTGTAGTGAGAAGCGTGTGGCCGGACGCGGGCTATCGCTGCGGCCAAGTCGCTGGGGACCTGAGGGGACAGAGGTGGGCGTGCCGACCGCAGGCGCTCACTGCCGCCAGGTGACGGTAGGAGGGGGGCCGGGCACTGGCCCACCTGCTGCCACTTACCTCAAAGGTGTTCCCAGTCACATCGAACTCCGGGGGGACAAAGGCTCCCTCGGGGTCGTCTGGGAAGGGAAGAGAAGGCGCCGGGTCACACGGCGACCCTCCGTTCCCACTACTCCCCACCCGGGTCACTGGGGAAGAGAGGCCTCCAGGCTCTCCCGGGATGGGGAGCTGCGAGAACCAGCGCGTCCCGAGCCTCACAACGGTGGGGAGGGGCGGAGGTACCAGCAGGTTACCATGGAAACCCGGCTCCCGGACCATCGGCCCAGGGAGGGCCCGCGTCCACTGGACTCTGCGTTCACGTTCCCCTGTGGGCGCCCGCCCAGGCCTCACCGCTGAGCTGCTCCATGAAGCACACATTCCCGCTGGTGTTGAAGGCCAGGGTGTCGGGCGTGATGCACAGGGTCTGGAAGATGGCCGAGTGCGCGACGCTCCTCATGGACAGGCTGCACTCCAGGCACACGGCCCAGGCCTCCCGCTCGCTGAGACCGCTGTCCCGCAGGGAGAGGATGTCGGCCAGGGACACGTTCTCCTGCAAGACAGGCCTGGGCTGAGCTGCGGGCGCCGGCAGAGGGGCCGCGGGCCTGGGGACAGGCCCCCGCAGCCCCCAACGTCCAGACAGCTCCCGGGAAGTAGACGCCACGCCGCAACGTTTCATTCTATGTCGGCAACGTCTTAAAAAACCCCACCAGACGACATCCCACAGTTCCTGGACGTCAGGAGCCGCAGAGCACGTGCTGCACCATCAGCTGCTGCTGGAGCAGGTGTTTGCCCAGCCTGCCCTTCGTCCCAGACTGTGCGGCCCCCCGCCGTTGGCCCGGCCCCACAGGCTCAGCACACAGACCTCGGTGGGCAGGCAGGGAGCCTCACCTTTCCAGCTTGCGAGCGGGTGAGGGAAGACGGAGCTGTTGCCACAAAGGCACAGCCGTGCACGGGGAGCCGCCAGCCCATGAACGTGACGTGAGCCTACGACAGTCACGGGACACGCGAGAACATGCTCATGACACCACGGCTGCAGAGCCGCCTGGACAACGGCTCCGGGCGGTGCACGTGGAGGACACAGTCGCGTGGCTCCTGCACAGCTAGACTCCGAGGCCGCCCACACAGCGGGCTCCACCTCCTGGTCTGACTCAGCTGTGGTTGTGCCACCCACACTCACTCACACACGTGTGCACAGAGCGTGCTAACACAATCTGTCAGGTGTGTGTGCACAGACGGACCCACGCCAGCATGCACACAGCTCTCACACATTCACTTACTAACTTTGATGCACAGGCGTGCAAAACCCACACGTCCACACACATGCCCACATGTATCCACGCAAGTCACACACGCACAAACACACTCATCAGGCTCACACATCAGACACCCTGTGCCTCACAGCCCTTTTCCGGGCCATTGTTTGACACCCTGCTTAGCTCCGTGTATTTGCGTGCTCACGCACCACCAGCCTAAGGAGGGGAGGGGACTGAGGAGCCAGGCTGGGAGCCGGGGCCTGGGCGAGCAGGCCGGAGGGTCGGGAAGGGTCCTGGACACCCGACTCGGAGGACAGGGCGGAGACTCGGGGAGAGGTGTGGGTGGAGGGTCGGGGTGAGTTGGGGGTGGAGGTCGGGGTGAGATGGGGGTGGAGGTCGGGGTGTGTTGGGGGAGGGTCGGGGTGAATTGGGGGTGGAGGTCGGGGTGAGTTGGGTTGGAGGGTTGGGGTGAGTTGGGGGTGCTACAGAAGAGAGGTGCCCCGGCTTCCGCCCCCTCACCTAGCTCTCCCTCCAGCCTCCTTGCTCCATCCTTCCAGCACACAGGATGTTCTCACGTGTAGCTAAGCTGCCGGGTCCTAAAAGGAGCCTACCATCTCCTGCCCTTGAAATTCTCCCACCTGTACTGCACGGGGGCCTTGACCACAGCAAAGGAGATGAAGGGTTTAAACCCAGAAAGAAAGCAGCAGTGTGAGGAGCCGCTGTGTGTGTGTCTGGCCAAGCAGCATGTGGTATGCGGGGTGGCGGGGGGTGGGGGCTACAGGAGGGGGATGCGGCAGGTCCTGCCGTGTGACTAGGCTCATCCCACATCTGTTCCTTCTCAGTTCAGGGAGGGGCTCAATGACATCCTCCTGGGCCCTCCCAACTCTTTCTCTTGGGGGGTGGTGGTTAAGATGGATGAGGAAAAGGCAGCTCTGAGAGCAGAGAGCCCCTTGCTGGGCTCCCGTATTGTACTGACCGTGGGAGGAGGGTGGACGGGGCATAGCAGAAAGCAGGGCGGCAGAGAGGCTCGTGAACCGGAAATCTCAGCTTCCAAAGCTCCCGGCTGGGTTCCCCGGGTTCGCTCCACCTGGAGGCCTCTCTGCCCCACCCAGGACCCCTCACGACTCAGGAGAGCCCAAGGCTCCCGGGGATGCCCGCGAGGCCTGGTTAGAGAGACACCTGGGCACCGTGTGCACACACGCACACACATGCACACGTACACACAGACGCCTGCACAGCGAACAGCCTGAGGACCCCGTGGGCCTGTTTATTTAGGAGGGTGAGTGAGCCAGTCCCCCTACAGCGGCCTCGCTGACTCCACTGGCTGTTGGCACGCAGCTGTGACAGATGTGCTGCCAGGAGATGGGAGCCCAGGGCAGAACCACAGCTTCCTGCTCAGGCCCAGGCCTCTGCTGCCCCTGCCCAGCGGAAAGATGCCCTGGTGAGGTGGAAGCTCCTCGGGGAAGCTGGAGACCTGCGCCCATTCATGGGGAGCACCCGCTGGGGAGAGCACCTACTGGGGGGAGCTCCTGCTGGGGGATTCTCTGCGTGACTCTATGGGGTAACTTCCATGGGTCCTGAGTCACTGCTTCCGTGTGGCTAACGCCTCCATTCACTGGTCTTAGCTCCTCTGCAACCCCACTGTTACAACGGGAAGGTGGGATTCAGCTGAAGCAAGTTCCAGGACAGCACCGAGGGACGCTGCAGGCCCCCAACACACCCAGGGCAGGTCTTGCCACATGATGACGGATCCCGGACACTGTGCCCACGGTCACCTCCCTCTGGGACCCGCAGCCCGCCCCCTGGTCCATCCTGCTCTGGCCCAGGCAGGAAGAATGACCCTTCCTTGCCTGAATCCACGGCCCAAGTAGGGCAGGCGGGATGGGCCAAAGACAAGGAGAGGGAGAGACCGGGAAGCAGGTGTTGGCCATTTAGGCCCCCTCAGTCCACCACCTGCCCCAAAATTCCAGCCCTGATAGATGGGAGCCTGTGCTCTTCCCAGAGGGGCAGCTCATTACCCCATGGGCCCTGAGCCTCACTCCATGAGGCCCCGATCCACACTCAAGGGGACGGTGCCTGGAGGCTAGCAGGGGCTTCACGGGCCAAGACAGACACGTGTGTGTGTGTGTGTGTGTGTGTGTGTGTGTGTGGGTGGGTGTGGGTGTGTGTGTGTGTGTGTGTGGGTGTGGGTGGGTGTGGTGATGTGCTACACACAGAAAAGCCAGCGAGGCTCCTGCAGACGCCTGTGCTCCAGCCTCGCCCCCGGGCACCCACCGGGGCTGCGGCAGGCTTGGGGAGAGCTGGTCATTGCCGGCCAGCTCCATCTCCTGGGTATAGAGCCAGCCTTCCGGGCAGACCCAGAAAGCCTACTGGAGCTCACACCTCACCCCTCACTACTGCCCAGCAAGGCGCCGCCTGGGTGGGCTCTGGGGGGAGATCTGAGGGGGAGACCACCCAGGGCAGGAAAGAGGGCCCCCCCTGCAATTGTGTGGGCACAGACTCAACCCCCATCCTGGCTGGGAGGGGGGCTTGGGAGGCAAGAGGACGCGGCTTCCCAAGGCAGCCCCTGTTGCCAGTCTGGGTCCTACAGGGCAGTGCTGGCTTCCTGCCACGGGCCGCTGTCCAGTGACAGCAACACGCCAGCCATGCGGGAGCTCCTGCCCCGCAGACACAGACCGCGAGCCAGGGCCACGTGGGGCCGCAGGACCCATGGGTCATTCTGCATTTCAAATGCTCCCCACCTGCTTTCAGATCCCCTGGCCCAGCCCAGCTCCCGGCCCACAGATGCCGGGGAGATGCCCCGCTGGACTCCTCACCCCTTGGGGGAGTCTGGGGCCTGGCAGATGCCCTGCCCCCCGAAGGCCCCTGCAGGCCAGTGGCACCGCCTGCCTCCCGATGCCCTGGGGTCTGCCGGATCCGCACCCCGGCCTTAGCTTGTACCGATGCAGTGGTGCTGCCTGCAGGTGGCCAGGGACCGGGCAGGCAGTGACCTCCAGGACCTTGCTGGGCGGTGCCGGCCCCCTCAGCACGCCCCCCGGGTGGTCTCTGGCCCTGAGTTCTCATGCTTATGCGTCGCCCATGGGCCATGTGTCTCTGGGGCAGGTGCCCAGACTGAAGTTGCTGGGACACAAGTGCAGGCATCCCCACCCACTATCGGATGCCAAACTGTTTTCCAAAGAGGCTGGTCCACTCCATCCCCCCTACACCCTGGCAGAGGGGCAGGGCCGCTACCCATTCCCCGCCAACTCGGGCCACCGTCCAGCTTTCTGGTTCTCGCCAACCTGGCACTTGTGGGAAGGTTTTCGCAGTGGGTGTATTTTGTGTTGCCTGATAATAATGAAGTCAAACATTTTCTCATATGTCCACCAGCAATTTGGATTTTCTCTGGGGTCACAACAGGGCATGGACGTTCCAGGGGCTCCTGTGGGGTGGGGTCCACAGGGTTCTATTTCCTGAGCTCACTGTGGTCAGTTGATATAATTAGCTGTATAACCAGCAAATGCCTGTGTCTCATGTGGCTTGTACAGTCCTGGGTCTGGCACCCACCGTCCCTCCCTGGGAGCTGCCCGCTGTCCTCGGCCACGGTTCCCTCCCGGGGCTCCGCCGCATGGCCCTCCTTCCTCTCACGCAGGATGGCTTTTCGGATACAACCTGACTACACAACGCTGTGCCAGGCGGTCACATGTCCCTGGCGGGGATTTAAAACCTTCAACACCAACCACACCCAACGTGTTTCACAAGAACACACCCAAAGGCAATGCCGGGGAGGGTGCGAGGAGTTTGAGGAGCCCCGAGCTTCACGGCTGGATGCCACTACAAACGTGGCATCCCACTTCACCTGGAGGTGACGGCCACAGGACGACGGGGACCCCGGCCCCATGCACTGTGCACGGCTGGGGACACTGTTACCCGGAGGAGGCCTCAGGGCACGGCCGCAGGACAGACGGTGGGCTCGCGATCGAGGCTTTGGGTCCAAGTCCCGGCTCTGCCTGTCCTGCTTATTTGGCATCAGTCTCCGGCTCGGTGTGCCAGGCACGGAGGAGGCCCTGGAAGTGTGGGGCAGCCAGTGCAGAAGGCTGCTCAGGACTTGGGCTCCTGACTGAAGGCCACTTTTGCCCTCTGTGAGCCCCACGTGGAGAACCACATGTTCTGCGTCTGCCTTGGGGAGTGATTTGGGGGGACGTGAGTCTCCCAACAGACACTTTAGAAATGCGTCCTTCCGGGGGGAGCGTTTGAAGGCTGACGGCTGGGAGCACCCTTTCTTGCGCCATCAAAGCCACGGAGATATCCACAGGGTTCTTTATTCCCTTGCCTTTCCTCTCCGCAGCCTTCTCTCACGCCGAATCCAGGCCACGGGGTGGGGGGTGGGGTGTTGAGGCAGCACCCCCCACCCCCACCCCGGGGCACTGCCTCGGCAGCCTCCTTAACAGACTCTGCCACCAGAAGGACTGCTTCTAGGGCGTGAGCCCCTCTGTCCTCAGAACCAGCTCTGCTGGGGAAGTGGGCAGGGGCCAGCTGAGGGCGAGGGACCTGGAGACCGCAGCTTCAGCTCTTATGAACCCCCTCTAGCCCAGGAGGGGGTGGCCGGGTCTGCCTCGCTGGTGGGCCTGGCCAGACGGGCACGTGGAGGGTCTTGTCATTTAGAGAGCAACACTGCAACAGCGCCAGCAGACCCCACGGATGGGCGCCTGTACCTGCTAGGGGCTGCACAGTCCCCCCAGCCTTGGGAGACTAGAGGGTCTTCTTGGGAGCAGCTGTATCCTCTGGGGGCCACCTCTCGTGTGGCGGGGACTGGCTTGTTCAAGGGCCACGGAGTTTATTCATTTGACCCCAACCCACGGTCTGTGGGGCACTACGGGGAAGCCAGAGCTACAGGGGCAAACCCAGGCGGGTGCGGAGGCGTCTCTGACAGAGTCGCGGGCAGAGTGGCACAGTTAATGGCCAGAAGCCCCATGTGACAGAGACCCTGGCCCCTCTGCACCCTGGCTGGGGGCTCAGGACTTGGGCTCCTGACTGAAGGCCACTTTTGTCCTCTATGAGCAGGAATCAGCCCTCAGTCATGGAGGCCTCCCCCGCCCCCAGCTCCTGAGCAGTCTGGCCTGACTGAGCTCTGCTGCCGGCGCCTGACCTCCTAGGGTCTCCGCAAGGAGGAATACAGTGCTCGGGCCCTGCCGCTAAGCGCCCCCCACGCTCATCCCCCCAACATCTGTAACCCGGAGCCCACCCCCGCAGGGCGCCAACTTCTTCAGCGACAGCGCACCCGCTGCTGTCCCAGGTGGCATCCCCCGGTCCTGTCCCCTCTGGGGGAAAACGCTGAAGGCTGGTGCTGCTGGTGAGAAGGGCTTTGGTATGCTCCTGCTGCCAGGACCTGGCCCGGGGGCAGGGGGCCTGGGGACTCTCCGCGAACCCCTCCGTGCGGAACGGTGGGGGTCCCAGCGCGGGTCGGGGGCTCACCTCGTCCTCCGGCAGAGTGGGGAGCGGCTCGAAGTCGTAGAAGTCTAAGTCTTTGCCGTCCTCCTCGTAAAAATCCGCCGCAGCAGGGTCCATGGCCTGCATCCTCCGTGCGCCGCCGGCGGCGCCACACTCGCAGTCACTGCCCGAGCCGCCGCGCTCCGGCCGGAGGCGCACCCGCCGCCCGAGATCTACGCGAGGCCGGCGCCCCTCGCCTGGCCTCGCCCCTCCAGCGGCCTTGGCGCCCCGGCTCCGGCTCCGGCTCCGCGCACAGGCTCTGGCTCTGCGAGCCGGGAAGGCTACGCGCGCAGGGCCGCCGTGGGAACGCCCCCCGCGCCGCCCGCCGCGGCCCACGCCGGCCCCGCCCCCGGTGCGCCCCGCCCGCGCGCTGCCGCAGTGTCGCCAGAGCGGGGACGGGGGTGGGGGCACCTGGGCGCGGGACTGGGGGTCGGGGCATTCGCAAGGCCGTGCTCACTTTGCCGGGCAATTGGGGGCGACTGGGGCTTCCGAGGGCGTTCTGGGGACTTTGTCCCTCGGGGACGTTGGCCGCTGTCCTGGGGGATGCACTGCGGGGGGGTGGGGAGGGGTGGAGGCCTGTGCGCGGTAGGCACCGTTTGGGGGCGGGGCCAGCCTTGTGGCCGGTGTTCCTGAGCGGTGCGTCGCGGGCAGCCGCGGGCTCTGTGGGCACACGGATGGAGGGCCGCGGCCCAGCCCGCGGAGAGTGCCGGGCGGGTGGTCCACCCTCCACCCTGTCACCCTCGCTCCCTGCCCCCGCTGGCAGGGGCGGGGCTGCCGCAGTCCACGCGGGGAGGTGGGGAGGGGCGGCTGCAGAGGTGCCCAGGAGGGCCAGGCAGGGCTGGGGGGGCCGGGCAGGGGGGGCGGAATGGGGTAGAGTCCAGGGAGTAGACCCGTCTGAGCAGTTGGGGTCTGGCCTGCCCCTTTCTTGAGTTAGGGTCCCATGGATGGGGGACCAATAATTAGAGCTTCATCCAGACCTTGCCAGCCTGCCTCCTCGGTGTGGAAAGGGAACCAAAAGAACAGACAAGCTCTCCCTCAATTTGGCAGTCCTGGTGGTTCGTGACTAACCCCTTCACCGGGTTTCCTCAGCACAGGGACGAGCCCTGCCCCAAGCCAGGGCCTGTGGCTGGGCAGAGAGCAGGACACCCCTACCCCAGCCTGGCAGAGATCCAGGGAGGGTGCCCCCTCACAGTGAAGCAAAGAGCCAGACAGCACAGCCTCCACGTCTTCTGCAGGAGGGTGACGGGTGGCCCCCCTCCCCCGGTGCAGAGCAGGGGGTCAGAGCTCCCACAAGACGGTGGGCACTGCGGCCAGGCTTACAGCAGCCACGATGTAAATACTCCTCGGCGAAGGAAGCTGACTCGCGGCAGGTCCTGCCAGGTCCGAGGATGCAGGGGACTAATTCTATCCCGGCTCAGGTCTCGTGGCCCCGGGGGCCCTGCGATGTGACCCCAGGTGGGCAAGGAGCACCCGGTCGGGAGGAACGTGGGCAGCGACGCCTCAGTCTGGCGGCCGGGGTGCCGGCAGCCCCACTGTGTACAGCCCACCCAAGGCCCCTGAGAGAAGTGGGTCTGGCGGTCTGGGAGCTGGGAGCAGTAGCCAGGGCGGGCGGGTGGGTAGGTGAGGGCAGCAGCGGTTGGAGAGGATCCATCTCAGGATGAGTGCCTGGGCTGTCGGTGGGCACCACCCAGTCTCAGAGGGAGGCAGGCCCTGCTCCAGAGCCCTGGGGCTCCAGCTGCATCCTGTACTCGGGCCCTGCGTCCACGGAGCCGAGCGCCCTGCCTGCAGGGTCCCTGTGCTGCAGGGGCGGGGGGCTGCCCCTTCCCTCTGTCCCAGGCTGGCGTCGAAGGCTGTTGAAGCCTGCGTGTGGCCTTGACACCCCTCACCCGCCATCCAGCCTAAACACCCTCCGGGGGTCTCAGCTGTTGTGGGCCCAAAGGGAAGATGCCAACTTTATCACCTGGTTCTCAGGTCTCCCTGCAACTGGGCCCAGGGTCTGGGCTGAGGACTGAATTGGGGGGTGGCATGCAAACCCCTTGACTGAAGGAGCAGTGTCATCGCCAATGGTTCCGGGCCTAATGGCATTGTCTACTTTGGGAAAAGGTGCATCCAATTTGGGTAAAATGCAGAACAAACGGGCTGTGGATGCCGGCTGAGTCAGCTTTGGCCGTTCCAGCCTCAAAGCACTTAGTGGGCGTGTGCCACCTCCTCAGTCAAGCAGGGACCAGGGGGCGGGGCCAGTGGGCGGGGCTAGTGGGCGGGGCCGGCGGGAGCCCTAGGGGGGCACCTGGCCGGGGCCGCATTGCCCTTCCTTCTTCTACCCACCTGCTTCCCCAAAGCGTTGTCGTCACTGGTCTTCTTTGTTCAGTGGAGTGACCGGAAGCTTCTGCTGGGTGTGTTGTGAGTCTCACTGTGTGTTTGCACACTTGCCCGCGTTTATGGCAAGCTCTGCTCCCTGGAAGGGCGTGGCCCCCTGTGTCCTGGTGCCTCGGGCGTGGTGGGTGCTCCTCAGTGTTGGTACGTGACTGTGACATTACTTTCGAGATCAGACCAAGTCTAGATCAGGCACCCTCAACCTCCCCAGAGCAAATGGGACAAGGACGTCCAGGCAGTCCTGGGCGCCACTCAAAGTTAATTTGAAGCTCAGCTCCAAACAGGCCAAGTCCTCACGAGCAGATGCCGCGAGGGCCCGCTCGCCCCAGCCTCTGCGCCAGCCTCTCCCACCACCCGCACGTCCAGCACATGCCCAGGGAGCAAGTCTGCTTCTTGGGACTCTTAGGCGCTGCCAGAATCCTGCAGAGGCTTCCTGGACGCACGGTCAGCTCCACGGCCAAGGCCGCGACCTGGCGGAGTCCCGTCTCCTCACTGCTCTTCCCTGACCCGTCGACTCACTCTCCTCCACCCCCATCTCCTCCAAGACCCTCCCTCTGTCTCCAAGCAGGTCCTAGCCCAAGCGCCCTCCCTGCCCACCCCCGAGCCTCAGGCCTCAGACCTCAGCCCTCCCCCGGCCGCCCTCAGTGACCAGGGAGGCTGTACTCCAGGCTAGGCTGGGCCCTCGCCGCGCGTGTCCCCAGGCACGCTCTCTCCTGGCTTCCGCCGTGCAGTCAGCGGCTGTCAGTAGATCAGGCCGAATGTGGGGTGGGAGGGAGTGGTGCAGGATGGGTTTTCAAAGCTCCTGTTTTCCCTGAAAGATTTTGAGAAGCTGTCACACCACGTGTACATTTTGAAGTCGACATCTACATTTTTGAAAAATTAAGAAATGTAAGTAATTGCAAAGAATGTAATTTCTGGCGTGGTATAATTATTGACATTTTGAAATAAAGCTGTTAGTCACTCCTGTAAATATATCCAAGGACCTAAAAACCAAAGTGGTTTTGATACCCACTATCAATCATTTAGAAAAAAACACATAAACATTTTTTTTCATAGTCGGAAATGTTCATCATAACATTTTCCTTAAACTCGTTACTGTTATCTAACTCCAGCCAGAATTTTATCTACTGTGATAGATTTTTATGCTTGAAAGTTTCTGCAGATTCTCCATAATACCTTGCAACAGAAATGCAGGTAAGTTTTAATGACTTGAATACTTATTAAGTAAAATTTTTTAACATTTTTGTTTCCAGTGACCATGAGATTCATTTTACAGTATCGAAATATTCTGACCATGTTCCTCCTGGCGACAGGACCTAGACCGCCCACCTGCTGCTGGGGCAGCCTGTGCCGTCCTGTCACTTGGTGGCCATCACTCCGTGTCTGTCACTTGGTCTCTGCACGCTCTGGCTCGTCCCCGTGCTGCCGCCTCCCTGAGCATCTGAGGGCAGCCCCTGCCCCACTCCTCTTCCCGGGCAGGGGGGGCCGAATGGGGTACCCCAGGGACCCCAGCACCCATGGGGCACCCTCCCCAGAGGTCTGGGCCCCAGGATCTAACAGCCCTGCCCCCAGGTGTGGAAGCCCCTCCTGAAGGTACTGTCCGCAAGGACCCTCGTGCCCCTCTTGCCTTCCAGCACCTGCTTCCCGTGCGCACGCTCTCTGTGGAAGTGAGTGGCGCGGCTGCACCGCCCACAGGTCCAGGCCAGTTCCTTTTACTCACGGATGTCGTGTGGATCGGCCGCCCCCATGTCCTTAGTCACGCAGATGTGCGGCCGAGTCACGGGCTCAGCGCGTGAGGGAGCTCACGGTTCCCAGGAGGGGGCGCAGACCGGGCTCGTGTCTCCCGGCACGGCCGCCCACGCCGCCCACGCCCCGGGCCAAGTTCCTCACCTCTCGAAGCGTGCAGCAGTGCTTCACAGTGTGGAGGATGGGGTGAGGTCGCTACCCACAAAGGTTGCCGGTCCAGCGGTCCTGCTAGGGAACATGCCCGACTGGGAGCATTCAAAGACCCCAGATGCAATTTCTCACACCTGGGGAGCTTGAGAGAGACTGGGGTCCCCTCATGGATGGAGCTGGCAGGGCCCCCATCAGAGGTGGGCAGAGTGCCGGGGGGACCCTGGTCAGGAAGCTGCGTCTCTAACCCTTCCCCCCCAACACCGTGTGATTCTGAGGCTGTCACACGTGAGCTCCCTGGGCTAAACCACCCGTCTCTCTAACCCTGACGGTGGATGTCCCATGCCCCCGCCGCACTGCTGGTCTTTGCTGCCCCCGTGAATAGCCAGGTGACGTCTTGGCCCCAGAGCCCAGAGCTGGGCTGGAGGGCTGGGGCTGCACCTCGGAGCTCCTTGGCTCCGGTGTGGACACCTGTCCAGCATCAGGTGACGGCAGTGAGCCTGCCTTCTGTTGGGCCAAAGATAAAGCTGCCAGCCCCTGGGGGAGCCAGCCCCAAGCAAGGGGGAGTCACAGCCGTGGAGGGCAGGTCCTGCGGTGCCAGAGAAGGGCCGCTGGGAAACTTATTGTAAATTGCAAATCAGGACATCCAGGGAGAGAGGGGCACCCTCCTGATCTATCAGACAGAGCAGCAGGCAATGTCCCCCCAATCCACCCCCTGCACCCCGAGGGCAGTCACTGTCCTGCCCTTGCGGAAGAGACTCCTCTACTCTCTTTTTTCATCTAGTTTTACCACTAAGCATATGTCGTTAAAGAAATAGTTTAGTTTTGCTCATTTTTTTCTTTTTTGGTAATTTGTATAAATGGAATCACACTGTGCGCGTTTTCTTTTTTTGTCTGGCTTCTCTCGCTCAGAGCTGCCCTGGGAGCGGGAGTCTGCTCA